TAGGGCCATGTTCGCCCGTCGTGGTGGGCTCCTGGTCCGTCTGACGCCGTCGGAAGCCGTTTGGGGGGCCTCTATGGGCCGATTTGGGGCCCTCTTGGAATGCTACAGGGCCGTCTTGGAGGCCATCTTGGGCGTCTTAAAGGCCTCGTGTGCCGTCTTAGGGGCCTACTGGGGCCGTCTTGGGGCCCTCTTGGGCCGTTCTGGGGCCATCTTGGAGGCCTCTTGGGCAATCTTTCGGCGATCTTTGGGGGCTCTTGGGCCGTCTCGGGCCGTCGGAAGGCCGAAAAGAAGGAAATGTCACCATCCGTCAAAAACTTTAGGAAATACATGTTTCTGGCCTCGTCTGGCCTTCCCGGAGGCCCTCTTGGGTGCCTTTTGGGCCGTCTTGGGCCAGCTTCGAGCCGATTTCGACCATCTTGGTGGGTTCCTGGCACGTCTGACGCTGTCGGGAGCCGTCTTGGGGGCCTTTCTGGGCCGACTGGGGGCCCTCTTGGGGCGCTTCGGGGCCGTCTTGGAGGCCATCTTGGGCGTCTTGGAGGCCATCTTGGGCGTGTTGGAGGCCTCTTGGGCCGTCTTGAGGGCCTCTTGGGCCGTCTTGGAGGCCACTTGGGCGGTCATGGGGCTCTCTTGGGGGCCTCTTGGGGGATCTTGGGGGCCTCTTGGGCCGTCTCGGGCCGTCGGAAAGCCGAAGAGGCGCAAATGCCAAAATCCTTCAAAAACAAAAGGAAAATACATGATTTTGGCATCTTCGAGACTTCCTGGATGACCTCTTGGAAGCCTCTGGGCCGTCTTGGAGGCATCTTGCGGGCCTTTTGGGCCGTCTTGGGCCGTCTTGAGGCTATCGGGGGCCGTCTTGGAGGCATCTTGGGGCCATCTGAGCTGTCTTGGGGGCCATCGTGGCCATCTTGGAGGCATCTTGAGGGTCATGTTGGACCATCTTGGAGGTCATCTTGGGCCAACGTGGCCATCTTGGCGCCATCGTGAGCCATCTTGGGTGATTATTTTTCGGATTGAGCGCCTTTCGGGGTAGCCAGCGGGACGGGCCGAAGCCCCAGGGGCAGTTCTTTTGGAGAAAGAACCAAAACCAAAAGCCATATCGTTCGGCATCCCACGCACCCGTCTGATAAATCAAAATGGGGCGGCGGATCGAAGACGCCTACGGCGAATCACCGCCGCCCCCTGCCTTTTTGGAAGCGCCTATGTGGCCGAACGTTGAGGCCAGACTTGCCAAGATATCGGACCATGTGTTCCCCGAATCGGTGTGGAAAGCCTTCGGGGAGCACGTGGGCATCTTGAAGGTCATCTTGGCCGTCTGGAGGTCATTTTGACCCTTTCGGGCGTTCTGGGAGGACGTCTTCGAGGGCTCTTGGACCGTCTTGGAGGCCATTTTGAGCGTCTTGGAGACCTCTTGGGCCGTCTTGGGGGCCTCTTGGGGCCGTGTCTTGGGCCTCTTGGGCGATCTTTGGAGGCATTTGGGCCGTCTCGGGCCGTCGGAAGGTAGAAAACAAGCAAATGCCACAATCATTCAAAAACCTAAGGAAAATACATGATTTTGGCATCTTCGAGACTTCCTGGATGACCTCTTGGAAGCCTCTGGGCCGTCTTGGAGGCATCTTGCGGGCCTTTTGGGCCGTCTTGGGCCGTCTTGTGGCCATCGGGGGCCCTCTCGGAGGCCTCTTGGGCCGTCTTGGGCCATCATAGGGCCATGTTCGCCCGTCGTGGTGGGCTCCTGGTCCGTCTGACGCCGTCGGAAGCCGTTTGGGGGGCCTCTATTGGCCGATTTGGGGCCCTCTTGAAATGCTCCAGGGCCGTCTTGGAGGTCATCTTGGGCGTCTTAAAGGCCTCGTGTGCCGTCTTAGGGGCCTACTGGGGCCGTCTTGGGACCCTCTTGGGCCGTTCTGGGGCCATCTTGGAGGCCTCTTGGGCAATCTTTCGGCGATCTTTGGGGGCTCTTGGACCGTCTCGGGCCGTCGGAAGGCCGAAAAGAAGACAATGTCACCGTCAAACACCTTAGGAACATCCATGTGGTTGGCCTCGTCTGGCCTTCCTGGAGGCCCTCTTGGGGGCCTCTTAGGCCGTCTTGGGCCAGCTTCGAGCCGATTTTGGCCATCTTGGTGGGTTCTTGGCACGTCTGACGCCGTCGGGAGCCGTCTTGGGGGCCTCTATGGGCCGACTTGGGGCGCTCTTGGGGCGCTTCGGGGCCGTCTTGAAGGCCATCTTGGGCGTCTTGGAGGCCATCTTGGGCGTGTTGGAAGCCTCTTGGGCCGTCGTGGGGGCCTCTTGGGGCTGTCTTGGAGGCCACTTGAGCGGTCATGGGGCCCTCTTGGCGGCCTCTTGGGCGATCTTGGGGGTCTCTTGGGCCGTCTGGGGCCGTCGGAATGCCGAGAAGACGCAAATGCCAGAATCCTTCAAAAACCATAGGAAAATCAATGATGTTGGTCTCTTCGGGCCTTCCTGGAGGACCTCTTGGAGGCCTCTTGGGCCGTCTTGGAGGCCTTTT